TAGCCCCAAATCATTATGAAGTTAAAATTAAATCCTAAAAGCTGTTCAATAATTCAAAGGAAGACAGGAAAGGGAACAGAAGAACGTAGCTCTACACAGAAGGGCAAATATTTCCAAATTCATTTTACAGGCCAGTATTACACTGATAGCAAAACTGGAAAAAGATATTACAAGGAAAGAAGGCATTTTTTCTACAGTAGTATTTCTCATAAAAATGGACAAAAAATCCTAAACAAAATATATATCTGAATTATATATATGGAGAGAGAGAGAGAAGTAGAAGAAAGTGAGGGAGAGAGAGGAGGGCGCATCATGGTGATGTGGGGTTACCCTCCCAAATCCCAGACTCGGTTGGTTCAAAATCTGAAAATCTATCAGTATCACAAATTAAAGAAGACAAACTCACATGAACATCTCAATAAACATAGAAAAATCATTTGATAAAATTAAATATCCATTCATAATTTTTAAAACCCTCAGTTAACTAGAAATAGAAGGAAAGCCTCTTAACATGATAAAGGGAACTGATGACAAAATTCAAAGCTATCATTATCCTTAATAGTGAGAGTCAATATTTTGCCCTTAAGATCAGAAAAAAGGGAAAGATGTTTGTTCCAACACGTCACATATTCATTATTGTATAGGAAGTCCTAGCCCTCATAACAGGGGAAGAAAAAGAAACACAAAGCATGCCATAGAAAAGACCTGAAATGGTCACTGCAGCCGTGATTACTGAGGCAGAAGGCTCATGGAAGCTACAGACAAGCTGCTTTGGACTAATAACTGAGTTCACCATGGCACCATGGTTTGGTCAAAACACAAAATTAATTATGCCTACATATTATCAATGACTAAACAATTATAAACATGTAACACCTAAAATATGTAGGTATAAATCTGGATGCTGTGAGTTCAAGGGCAGCCGGGGTTACATAGTGAGTTCAAGACCAGCCTGAACTGCATAGTGAGACCTTGTCTTAAAAAACAAACAAATCTGTATGCTGAAAATTGCCTGTATGTATCATTAGATACCTGTGTATATTTATTTTATACTTTGTATTATGGTCATGGTCCTTCAGTTATTCAGACTGTTCCTGCTTTAGTCACCACTGAGATCTTTCAGTTGGCTCCTGTGTTCCTCTGATACAACCTACCCCGCTCCTGAGTATTTTCTTACTTTTTGGTACTACGTGATGTCCTGGGCTCACCCTGTATATTTCCTGCCCTGGGCCTAGAATTAGCCATTTCTTCAAACCCTGATCTCTATTAGAAAGTGGTGTTAGAAGCCAAGGTCCGGGTCCGGGTGTGCTCTTTGCTACCAGGCGGTCACTGGAGACTTAGCTGGCCACTAAAGGAGAGCCGTGCACGTACCGACCTGTACGTGACGCACACATCCATTGCACTGTCATAGCGGTATCTGCATGTGAAGCTGTGCTCCTTCCTGAGGAAGCAAGCTCATCAATGACACTGCAGTGATTTTGTTCAGTTCCTTCCATCTTTGGTCTTTAAGACTCTCTCCATTTTGGGCCAGGCCCCAACTTTTTCTAGTGAAGTTGTCTCACACATTTTTCATCCTGTTAAATTGAAATATCACATTCTGTATTCCATCCAGAAATCCCTCAACCTCATAAATGATCATTTAAAAAACTGTATTCATTGAGATTCTCTGATGGTGTTGTATACACTGTGGACTTTAACAAATGTGTAGTGGCAGCTACCCACCATTGTAGTGTCACACAAAACAGTTTCACCTCTCTAAAGAAATCCCCAGGCTGGAACTGGTGGCACATGCCTGTAATCCCAGCACTTGGGAGGCTGAGGCAGGAGGATGCTGCAAGTTTAAGGCTAGCCTGGGCTACAAAGTAAGTTCAA